CACATCCGAAAAATTATCCATTATGATCAAGTAGGCTTCATTCCTGAGATGCAGGGCTGGTTCAACATACGAAAATCTATCAATGTAATCCAGCATATAAATAAACTGAAAGAAAAAAACCATATGATCATTTCATTAGATGCTGAAAAAGCATTTGACAAAATTCAACATCCATTTATGTTAAAAGTCTTGCAGAGATTAGGGATACAAGGGTCATACCTAAATATAATAAAAGCTATATACAGCAAGCCGACAGCTAACATCAAATTAAACGGAGAGAAACTCAAAGCCATCCCACTTAACTCAGGAACACGACAAGGCTGTCCACTCTCCCCATACCTCTTCAATATAGTGCTTGAAGTTCTAGCAATAGCAATAAGACAACATAATGGAATCAAGGGGATTCGAATTGGAAAGGAAGAAGTTAAACTTTCGTTATTTGCAGATGATATGATAGTGTACATAAGCGACCCCAAAAACTCCACCAAAGAACTCCTACAGCTGATAAACAGCTTTAGTAATGTGGCAGGATACAAGATCAACTCCAAAAAATCAGTCGCCCTCTTATACACAAAGGATATGGAAGCAGAGAGGGAAATCAGAGAAGCTTCACCATTCACAATAGCCAAAAACAGCATAAAATATCTTGGGGTACATCTAACCAAGGAAGTGAAAGATCTATTTGACAAGAACTTTAAGGCATTGAAGAAAGAAATTGAAGAGGATACCAAAAAATGGATGGACCTCCCTTGCTCTTGGATTGGGAGGATCAACATAGTAAAAATGGCAATTCTACCAAAGGCTATTTATAGATTCAATGCAATCCCCATCAAGATCCCATCAAAATTCTTCACAGATCTGGAGAGGACAATAATCAACTTTATATGGAAAAACAAAAAACCCAGGATAGCCAAAACAATCCTATACAATAAAGGATCTTCTGGAGGCATTACCATCCCTGACTTCAAACTCTATTACAGAGCTACAGTAATGAAAACAGTGTGGTACTGGCATAAAAACAGAGAAGTCGACCAATGGAATCGTATAGAAGACCCGGATTTTATCCCACAAACCTATGAACACCTGATTTTCGATAAAGGAGCTAAAAGTATAAAATGGAAGAAAGAAAGCATCTTCAACAAATGGTGCTGGCACAACTGGATGTCATCTTGTAGAAGAATGAAAATAGACCCTTATCTATCACCGTGCACAAAACTCAAGTCCAAATGGATTAAAGACCTCAATATCAGCCCGAACACACTGAACCTGATAGAAGAGAAAGTGGGAAGTACCCTACAGGAGCTGGGCACAGGAGATCGCCTCCTATGTATAACCCCAGAAGCACAGACATTAAGGGCAACATTGAATAATTGGGACCTACTTAAACTGAGAAGCTTCTGTAAAGCAAAGGACATAGTCAATAAGACACAAAGGCAACCTACTGATTGGGAGAAGATCTTCACCAACCCCACAACAGACAAAGGTCTGATCTCCAAAATATATAAGGAACTCAAGAAACTAGACTTTAAAATGCTAATTAACCCAATTAAAAAATGGGGCACTGAACTGAACAGAGAATTCTCAGCAGAGGAAGTTCAAATGGCCAAAAGACACTTAAAGTCGTGCTCAACTTCCTTAGCAATCAGGGAAATGCAAATCAAAACAACTTTGAGATATCATCTTACACCTGTCAGAATGGCTAAAGTCAAAAACACCAAGGATAACCTTTGCTGGAGAGGCTGTGGAGGAACGGGTACCCTCATCCATTGCTGGTGGGAATGCCATCTTGTGCAACCACTGTGGAAGTCAGTGTTTCGGTTTCTCAGGAAATTCGGGATCAACTTACCCCTGGACCCAGCAATACCACTCCTGGGAATATACCCAAGAGATGCTCTATCATATGACAAAAGCATTTGTTCAACTATGTTCATAGCTGTATTATTTGTAATAGCCAGAACCTGGAAACAACCTAGATGCCCTTCAATGGAAGAATGGATGAAGAAAGTATGGAATATATACACGCTAGAGTACTACGCTGCGGTAAAAAACAATGACTTCTCGAATTTTGCAGGCAAATGGATGGAAATAGAAAACACTATCCTGAGTGAGGTGTCCCAGACCCAAAAAGATGAACATGGGATGTACTCGCTCATAATTGGTTTCTAGCCATAAATTAGGGCCACAGAGTCTACAATAGGTGAACCTAAAGAAGCTAAGTAAGAAGGTGAACCCAAGGAAAAACATATAGTTATCCTCTTGGCTAAGGGAAGTATACCCAATTGCCTGGGAGAAAATTAGGATCTTGGGGGTGGGGTGGGATGGGGGTAAGGGGAGATGGGGAGAGAAAAGTTAGAAGGGAAGGAGGGGGGATTTGGGGAATCAGGAGAATTGGGATAAAGGAAAGGTGGATAGGGGAGCACGGAACCACAATTCTTAGTTAAGGGAACCACTTTAGGGTGAGCAAGAGATTTGACCCTAGAGGGGCTCCCAAGTGCCCAACATGAGGTTCCCAGTTAGTTCCTTGGGTAGCTGAGGATTGGGAACCTGAAATGACCCTATCCGAGAGCAATACTGACGAATATCTTGCATATCATCATAGAACCTTCATCTGGTGATGGATGGAGACAGAGACAGACCCACACTGGAGCACTGGACTGAGCTCCCAAGGTCCCAATGAGGAGCAGAAGGAGGGAGAACATGAGCAAAGAAGTCGGGACCACGAGGCGTGCACCCACCCACTGAGACAGTGGAGCTGATCTACTGGGAGCTCACCAAGGCCAGCTGGACTGTGACCGAAAAAGCATGGGATAAAACCGGACTCTCTGAACATGGCGAACAATGAGGGCTGATGAGACGCCAAGGACAATGGCACGGGGTTTTGATCCTACTTAATGTGCTGGCTTTGTGGAAGCCTAGCCAGTTTGGATGTTCACCTTCCTAGATATGGACGGAGGGGGGAGGACCTAGGACTTACCACAGGGCAGGGAACCTGGACTGCTCTGTGGACTGGAGAGGGAGGGGGAGAGGAGTGGGGGGAGGGGTAGAAGGGTGGGAGGAGGGGGAGAAGGGTGGGAGGAGGGGGAGGGAAATGGGAGGCTGGGAGGAGGTGGAAACTTGTTTTTTGTTTATGTTTTTTTTTCTTCTTTTCTTAATAAAAAAAATTATTTAAAAAAAAAAAAAAAAAAAAAGAATTCTACCATACCATGATTTTGTTTACAGCATGAGCTCTGATACTGGGCTTCTGTAGGCAGATTTATCTGTCCTGGGTGTGATGTAGAGTGGACATCAACATCACAGAAATGACAGCTAGTGAATTCATAGGAATACTAAATGCTAATATGTAACCTAGTTTGAACTTACCTTTTCTGTTAATACTTTGCCTGATACACAAGTATATTCTGATTCTAAATAACTTTCCCACAGACAAGAGGTTTTAAAATATTGGAGAAGATCCAAAATGAATCTCAAGTTATATAAAACATATCAGAGCAGAGTTCTACTCCCTAGATAGACTCAAGTGTAATCTAGCCACAAAGCAACTCTGAGTGTTCAGCAGGTGTCTTTTCTAGAACTAGTAAAAAAAAAGTGTATATAAAACTGTTTATCTTGTAATTTACTTGACAAATGACTTTCACAATACCTTATCACTGCAACAGCAAGAATCCTTGTCTGCAGCTCAACTTTCAGTTTCCAGTCATAATGCTATTTGTCAAAATACTTTATTCTATACTCAAACAACTGCAGCTGTGAAAAGAACCAACAGTGATGACATTCTTATGCAGTTTAAAAGTGATTAACACATGAGACCACTGTTGCATTTAGTGAAGTCTGTGCCTGAAAAAGAAATAACTATAAAGTCACTCTGAGATGTTTCAGAATCTTTCAACTGTCAGCTTTATTTAAAAAATACAGATATTTTTAAATGTTGGATTTTATGCATCATATAACAAAGAAATCTACATCAAATTACTAACTCAAAGATACAAACACCATCCACTAATTTAATACTACAGTATTTAGGATAAATTATATTTTCATTGTATCAGCACATAAGAAAACAAGTTATTTCTAACATGCTGCTATAATTAAAATTAAAACAAGTTTTCAGCAGCAAACTTAGTCTTGCTTAAAACAAAGAAAAAATTGATGGTGAATTGATGCAAACATTCCACAAAAAAAACCCCACTTTTTGTGAATTCTTACACTTATCCAATATAACTTTATTTTTCACAGAGACATTGCAGGCCCTGTAACTGCAGCCAGGCTTTCCAGGTTTACATTAGGCTACTGTAAATAAGCTCCTGGTTAGAGAATGGATTTGGGATGTGATAACATAAGGTAATTTATCAACCTTCAGGGACAATGAAATGATTTTTTCCTTAATAGTTATATATTAGAACAGAAATGAGGAGCAAAGTATTTTGAAATTTGCATGTATCATCTAGTTGAAACTTCTATCAAGGTCAAATCTGAAGAAAAAACTTGGCATGTCTTAGTCTTACAGAGTACTTTCAGTGCTCACTTTTGCATTTTTTCAAGGTTGTTACTTAGACTGTAGGGATTTAAGAAATATTGCTTACTTTTAAAACAAGAGTAAGTGCTTCTTTTATATTGAATATAGTTAAAATATTTGGCAGGTAAAATCATCACATTTTCAAATACTCCTGAGAAAACAATAAGGACAAAAACAGCTTTCTATGCTTTTTTAAGAACTCTTTTTTCAGACTGTCTATAGAGAATAACACAAAATACCACAGTTAATGGGAAAACTAAGCGACTACTTTCCTCTTACACCAAATGAGGAAAAAAAATTTAATGACCTATCAACTACAATGGAAAATGTGGCTCAAAATTTAATGGAGCATAGCATCTTTGCATGAAAGATCAAGTTTGATTACACACTTGAAAAGTACCCATGGTGATGTTATGAATGCATTTAGTTTTAACATCTTTCTCAGAAAAAAAAAGTTTCAGTTTTTTCATAACAAACAAAACAGTGGTTACGAAGTCCAGCGCCACCAAGCAACCTTCATTCTGTCCCATACTGCTGAGAATGAATCAAAGGCAGGACGCACATCCAGGATGGTGAACTGGTAGTCCTTGTTAACCTCACCACCATCATAGTAATCAATGACATACCTAACTTCTGTGCCACAACGGTTGATGATCCAGTCATGCCTGTCAAAAGGCAACTCATACCTGGAATGAAAGCACAACAGTGAATGCTAAGTGCTGGTCTGCGTTGATTCTTGGTGTAAGCAGAAAGACAGTCAGAAAAATAGCACATGTTCAGATGCCTGATCTCACATGCAAATGCCTAGCGGGGGATATGAGACGTGGGCAATAAGCCTATGGTGCATAGAGAATGTGGCATTGAAGAACTTTGATGAGTCTATGTCAGATCATCTGTCTATAAATGAAAAAGGTTCATGGGAAAGAGACCCAAGCCAGAAGGCTAGCTAGAAGGCTGGAGAAATCTAGGATGCTAAGTAACCCAATTACACAAAAGACAAGGGAAGAATGAGGCAAGATAAAGACCACAAGAAGAGTAAAAGGACAGTTCTAAGGATCCCCCCAAAAAGCACAATTCAATCTTTGGAGAATGAAGTAGGAAGACAGCCATTCTACCCTCATAATTCGGCCCATCTATGAGTAAACTCAATGAGATAAGGAAATGTAAGCTGGATATACTTTACAAGTGGAACCACTTTCTTACACTCTAGTTTCAGTGGTGAGAATGTCAACAGCAGTTGTATACTGATACTTACCCCATCCAGGAACGAATTCTTGCCCTTGGTGAATATTTTCTGGCTTTGCCTCCAAATCGGACCAATGATGGGCCACAAGGACACTCACTGAAAATGCCCAAATAAGAACAGTCTATTAAAGATACTTTCTTTCCTTTGACAGAATGATGTTACAGTTTTATAATAATATCTTTTTTCCCTATATTTATTTGCTATACTACCACATTTACAGAGGACAGTAACTTATAACAGAATTCAAGTAAATTGGTCCTATTTGTTGGAAACATTTCACTTTCCTTTTAGGTTGTATATGTTTCTCTCTAGGCATCTGCTTGGCTTTCCTGCGAAATTCGGGAGAAAGGACCTTCTCATTTGAGAAAAGGGCACAGGCACACTCTCAAAAAAAACTGTGATGTATTGTGTATATTCCTTCTCTTTTGCATAGAGCAGCTAGGATTTCTGCACAGAAACAACAGAAGCTGCTATATGCAATCAGCTCTTTGGGTGTATGGGCTTTACCTTCACAGATTCAACCAACTATACACTAAAAATACTTGGGAAAACACTGTATCTGAAAACTGAGGATATAGATCAGTTGGTACAGTACTTGCCTATCATGCAGAAAGCTCTGGGTTCAATGCTCAGTACCACATAAATCAGATACTGTGATGTATATTTGTAATTTTAGCACTCAGGACGTGAAGGTAAGGAGGATTACAAATTCAAGGTTACATAGAGGTCTCCCTGGACCACACAAGACTGTCTCAAAAACAAAGACTGTCTCAAAACCAACTGAACAAACAAACAAAAAAACAGTAATAAACATAAAACTGTGCATTTGCATTAAGCATATCTGATTTTTAATCCTTTTCGCTGTTCCTTAAATAAAATAGTACAACTATTTACAATATATTTACATTATTTTAGTCATTTATAAGTGACTGTCTAAAATATGTAGGAAGATGTACACTACACATTATATGAAAATGCAATGAAATAATAATATAAGGAACTTTCAGTATACATGGCTTTGTTATCTTCCGATGCCCTGGAACCAATCCAAGAATATTGTGGGAGTACTTCCTTGTTTCATTTTAACCAATTAACAAACTCTTTGAAGCAAAAAAGAATGGGGACTGACTTCTAGGAACCAATGTACGTACTGCTGAGCCTGTTTTTTAAGTAAACTGAACACTGGCAGTGTCCTAGTTAGTATGACTGAGTTCCCTTAAGGGCCTGTCCTCTACTGACACAAGAGTACAGAGGATATTCAAGACGCTGCCCTTGACACAAACCTGATTCCCTGATGTGGGCTGAAGGACTGGTCCATTAAGACAGGAGCCACTAATTTTGTTAGCTGCTCCCATTGGTAAAACAAGCTAATAATCCCACCATGTAAAGAAGAAAAGAATCTATATCCAGAGTACAACAAAGCCAGACTGTGGACTTTCTAGTATCTCTTCTCAAGAGGTTAACAGGTAAAGCAGTAACTCAATGTATGTAACTTTTCTTTTGAAGACATTAGAGGGAACTTTTATGGCCTAGCTAATTTTGACAGATATTTGCAAAATGACTAGAGGTAACTGAATTGACAAGCTGAAATTCCTTTAGCTTTTATTTGTTTTTAAAATCACACTGCAAGTAATGAGTAGGTGGCTTTAATTAGAGTACATTTTTAACCTAGGTTATGACAGCTACTTACATCTGAGTTAGCCAGTCAGGTCTTTCCTCTAGGTCAGAGGTTACTTACCACCAGGAAAGTCTATCCAACTGGCATCCAGCTAGCAACACTTACGTAGAGTTCATACTGAAATGCTCAGTACAAATACCAAAAACAGACTAGTATAAAAATAAAACAGAAAGTGGCTTTTCTCTAAAAAAAATTATTAATTATGCTTTGGAAGGAATTTGAAATGTAAGGCAGATTATGATAGGCCCTTGCTATGAAAGCTCCTTCAGCCAATAGCCTTTAAGATAGCAGCTCACTTGGGCATGGCCTCTTAGACTATAAATGCAGCTGTAAAGCATGCACTGGCTCTCTTGCTTCCGGCTCTCACTTCCGGCTGTTAGAGTCTGTTCATGTTCCCATTTGTGCAGAGGACTGTGATCTAGGACTGTGATCTGTGAGTCTCCCCTAAATAAATAACCCTGTATTATACGTAATTCTGAACTAGTGCGGTATCATTTTGTATCTTCCCCTATCAGGACATTGTTCTTTGTGAAGATACTCCCCATTGCTTCACTTCTGGAGGTGATGGTCTCAACCAGCAGTGTCACATCATTCCATAAACATCAAGCCTATGACAATTCTGGACCAGGTCACACCCCAAAATAAGTCCAGATGGCAGAGTTGCAATAAAACTACCAGGTGATGTGGAGAACCACTACTTTTTCAACTGACCTATTCTCTCTGAGAAAAGGGGCCCATGTGAAGAAAGACCTTTAAGGTCAGTCCTTACAAGGATTCCAAATAGTGAAGGAACAAAATAAGTTCTTTCCTATATCCCTTGGATCACAAAGCAAATTAGTCTCGTTTCTGATGTGCTCTGTTTTGCTTTCAATGACTGACCTACCATACTTCGTTCACTGAGAGATGATGCTCCACCTACCCCTTCAATCTGGTCAAGCTTGAAACACTTGAGTCTTTCTAGCTATGTCAGAAAAGGAGATTTGGCTTCTGTTTGGTGCCTCTGGAACCTAGCCACTGTGAGGTAAGGCAGCTGGTACCCCTTTGCTAGATGGGGGTTCATGGGTCATGGCTTCAGGAAACTAGCCCACAGCTCTGCAGCAGCCATTTCTGATCATGTCCTGATCATCTGAGGCCTAAGTCAGCATGGAGCACAGCTGAGCTATCTTTGCTTCAAATTCTCTATAAACATAAAGCTCAGGGAGTAAGAAAGTATAGTCTACACTATAAGAATCATCACTATTACACAAATGACTAACAAATTATTTAAATGTTAACACTGTAGGAAAGTTGATATGCAGTAAAAGAAAGAAGCAGGAATTTTTTTAGATAACATACTTACTGAGCATGAAGAGCTTCCCACTTCAAAATCTCCTTCCAAGCCTGCTCATTATTCTGATTGTGAATTCTAATGATATTATACATATCTTTCTGACTAATATCATCATCCTTCCACTTCCACCTAAGAAAGAATGTGCCAAAATTTATCAAATATCATTAATAAAGCCAAAATAGTTACTTCATGTATTCATAAAATGGTTTATACTTTTTACACACTGAAATCAAAGATTAATGGTTCATCTTAACCTTATTTCATGGAATTCTCCAAGCATACTAATTCACCAAAGCATTATTAATTTAGTACCATTGATAAATGATTTACCAACTTTTTCCTGGCACTTTATATATCAGAGTTTCTTTTTATATTTCTAAAAATGTATTTGTTGTGATATGAATTGAACAGATTGTCTGGCTCAGGTAGAGCCTATTCAATCAGTTATAGGCCTAAGTATAACAAAAAGGTGCAGTCCTTTCCATAAGCAAACAGGAACTCCTGAATGTTTGCTTGGGCTACAACATTAGGCTTTACCTGATTTTCAGCCTGAACTTAAATATCAGTTATTTCTGGATTTTAAGCTTCCCAATTTTCAGACCAGAACTTCTAGCATCAGATCCCCTGGTTCTCAGGGTGTGTGACTGATTAACCACATCACTGGCTTTCCCAGGTCTCTCACTACCTGACAGCAGATCTTGGAACTTATTGCTGGCATCCATGATAATGGGAACCAATTCCTTATAACAAATGTCTTCCTGAACACTTCACCCCTACTCCACCACCCCTTTGCCCTGTTACTTATGTTTTTCTAAAAAACACTGACCTTGAATACTAGCTTTGTACTTATATTCTGATAACTCTGAAAATTCTATTATAAACTGATAAACTCACTAAAAATTACTGTATTTTTGGAGGTTAAAAAAAACGTTAACATTTAATTCTGAGATAAATGTGGTAAGCAAATTATCTTCTAAATAATATTCTCACTTACCCTTTCCGTAGCATGGCATTCCAAAACATCTGTTCAGAAGGGTAAACCCACTTTTTCTCGGAGTCTGCTCTTGGAATAGATGACTCCTCTCTTGAGGTAGACAAAGTAAATGGCTGCCCTGGGGATGGGGTCTGATTAGGCGGTGGCATCTAAGGAAAATCAGTATTGTATTTAAAGGTCAGTACGATGATATAAACCAAAAAATAGTCAGTACGCCCTGGAAAGTTATTCACCATATAAGAAGTACAAATTCCCATTAAACCAGCAACATCAGACTTTCAACCTCTGACATTTTTGGTCATACTACTTTTTTGTTGTTGTTGCTGTGATGAAATAACCACCAAGAAAAAAATTTATGAAAGATTTATCTAGCTCATAGTTTGAGAAGACACAGTTGACCATGGTGGAGAATGCAGGGGTACATAAAATGCCTTTGGAAGAGATAAGTGGAGATTACCAGGTTTGAAGGATCTAGGTTCTCCTTATTCTTAGCTGCAGCACCAGTAACAGGGCACTCCACGTACTCATAGGCCCGATCTTGGTGGGCAGGCACAGAGTGTGCTCTGCTCTCACCAGTTGGTTCAGATGCTACTGCAGTCATGGGACAGCCTGAAATAATCAAGTATTAAAAAACAATCACTGTTAAGATAACATACCAACAGTGGAAGAAGGTACTATTAGTTAAGACCTTAAAGAGCTAAAATTGTGACCAACACAGTTGAAAAACTAAGTTTCTTCTACTTAAAGATGCCAAGAACTAAGCCAGTTAACTTTCTAAAGATGACAAGATGCTACAAATATACTTTCCCTTTAAGAGAAAAATATGTACATTCTCTAATTCTATCATGCCCCCAGCAAAAAATAAGCTAAAATCATTCTGCAGATTCAACAGTGGGTGTTGCCCATTATATTATTAGCAATGTCCTACAAAGTTCCTACTTGGACCAGCAGCTGGGAGCTGACAGAGGAACCTAAGTGAGAGCTGGCCATACTTTATTGGGTCTCTGACTTCCAGCCATTAGTTCCTGACAAGTCAATGGAGTAGCAGCCACTATGTAAGCATCTATTCTTGATATACCCCCTCAAATATTGGGCACAGGAGCAGAAAATGAGCAGACTTTACAAAGACTAAAAGAAAAACATTCCGTTCTGCTCATGTTTGTTCAAAGACTCAAGTAAGCCACAGAAAATCCCTATTCATCTGAGGTCTAGTCCTTGTCAGCGGATATAAAAGCTCATCAAGAAAGCAGACTTGTAAGGAAATATACCATGAGAGACTCATGCTTCTGAGTCTTATAAACAGAGGGGCACAAGTAGCAGTCAATGCCCAAGCTCCTAGGGTGCGGATCCAGGCAGGTGTGGGGACCGAGAAGCTTGTTTAAAATAAACATCAGGTGATCAGGAAGGTACTTAAAGATCTATGTCACAGAATAATGGCTGCTTCTGTCATGGAATCCTCCCTTGTTCCAGGCACCAGTAGGAAATACAGAATATGCTGAATGCTAGATGTCATACACAGAAAAGACAGTTTCTTTCACTTCCTTAGCCCCTCCTCCCAGGCCTTCATTTTCCAAGACCCCAAGCAGTTCACTTTAGGGGTGAAAACATAACTGCAATACCTCTCTCTATGACAGTAAAACACTAATCTTCCCAGAGCATTGATCCCAGGTGGGTATCAGAAGGAAAACAGTGCTATACTTTCCACATTATATAACCTAGAGGCCCATTAGTCTCCTAGAAAGACTCACATTCTTTACTATAGAAATAAAGCAGGATCACAAGTCTCTGTGGCAGATAAAATAATAAAGAGGACTACTAGAGAACAGAAGCTCAGAGCCAAGCCACACTTGCTTTGTTTGCTTTCTCTCAATTTCTAGAAGAAGGAATACTGGAAGAGCATGGGACCTGTCCTTGTCCAAGGTCACAACATTTTCACCAACTTCAGAACTTACTAGCTAAATGGCTCGGAGTACAGAAGTTAGTTTCTCTGAGCTTTAGTTTCCTTGACTATAAAACAAACAGAAAATCAATCCCCCATACAGGTTTATAAAGGTGAGAATGTAAGCCCTATCAGGCAAAGGATTTTGTCTACAATCTGCATTGCTGTTTCTCTCTCAGTCAAGAAACAAAAGCCAGCATTGCTTGTGAGAGAGAGTAAGTGCTGACCTCTTGGAGTTAGGCTGGCTAACCCAGAGAAAGAATGATGGCACAGGATCCGTGAGCATGCAGGAAACATGAATATGCAATAAGCATACCGACTGCCCCAATCTGAACTATCAAAAGCAGACAGGCACCAATTAAAGAACTTTTTATGCTTCCAACCTTGCACTGACACTGTCTATAAATTCACTTGGTGAAGGCTTATTTTGACCTAGATGAAGACTACAGCTGATACGGGAGTAGTTTATTGAGACATAGCTAGACTGAGCTTTCTCAGCTCTGGCTTTCTTATTATTTAGCAACCAAAGATTCCATCCATGTCCAAGGCGGTAGGATGTTTAGCAGCATCTTTGGTCCCACCACACTATATGTCTCAGTTGTGAGAAGGCAAACTATTTATTAAATGTCCCCTTGAATGATGGTTCTCCTCATCCACGACTAAAAACCCCTGATGGAGGCACAGGGAAACTTTGGAGAGGCCATTTTGTGGAACAGCTGCTGGGTTTCCGGGCATGATCTCAGACACCCATCATCATAATCCTGTGAAAAATATTACATTACACCTACAGATGACAGACTAAGACACAGAGAAGCTGTTTATGATAATGGCTAAAGAGCAGCAAAATTAGGATCAGTCCCAGGGTGCCTTACTCCCAGGCTTACAAGCCTCACTGGCAAACTACAGGCCTCTTCCTTTAGAACCATTACCTCTCTTTCAAATTTCTAGCCAACAAGCAAACTACCTTTCCTCCTCCGGGCTTCATGCATCGGGCATCCTGAAGGCGGTGAATGGGGCTGAAGATCTGAACCGTCTGAGGTGTTCACTGCAGCAGCAGGAGTAGATGTGGAGGAACCCATGGCTGGAACCACAGGGATGACTCCCGGTCTCAAATTTCCACCTGCCAAAGCAATAAGTCCGATTTCAGTGCAGAGACTTAGCAACCAGACTATCAGCCCCTTGTCATTCTGACACTGGCTGAACCTCATTCTTCTTCCCCATCCCATGGGAAAGTACACTTGCTTGGGAGCAGTTTTAAAATACTGCCCCCTTTAGGGGAAGTACCGTGAAACCTATGCCACCATCTGGTGACACTTCTCTGAGAGACTGGAAACACGTAAGGTGAAACCGTGTCTTCTAGACGTGTTTAGACCTGGTGGTGGGGTCCTGTGAGGGGGAGGGGGTGACACGGGTCCGGGAGACGAAGCATATGGAACCGGACTCGAACCCCTGTCCTCGGGGGCCCCCGGTCTCAGAGAAGACAGGGAGGTTCAAAAAACAGGGGAGTGTCACCAAATTGGGAGGCCAAGGCGCACCGAAGAAGGGCAGCACGCCACCGATCTTGTCCACCTGTCCATGTGCGTCCCACCCGAACCAGTCCGCGGTCCCCAAAGCCCACCGCACGCCCTTCAGCACCTCAGTCTCCCCTCGGACTGGCCCGGGCGGCCACTGCGTCGAACCGCCAAGCCGGATACTCAGGGCAGCGACCAACCTCCGCCGCCGCAGCCGCCGCCGCAGCCGCCGCCTCCTCCTCTTTATCCCAAAGGGGGTCACCGCTAATGCCCGGGTCACAGCCGGCTTTCTTGAGCGCCCTTGACTTCCTTTTCCGAAGGCGGAACTTCCGGAAGCACTGGGGCAGGCCGCAGACTGAGAAGAAGCCCTGTCAGTCAGGGAGGATGTGGCCCACCCCTTCCGGTTCGAGGCCTATAGCCGTCCGCGCCTTCTCTCTGACCCCACCTCTACGGTCTGGGCGGTGTTTTCAACTCGGCTGGCGGCTAGGCCGCAGTGGAGCCGGAGAAAGCTACTCTGTTCCTTGTGCATGTGTGCTTTAGGGAGCAGAGGGGGCGCCCTGGAGTTGTCAAATTGCTGGGGGGTTGTTTTTGTTTTTGTTTTCACTGTCACTATGCGCGTCCTTACGTGTTTCCAGTCTCTTGGAGAAGTGTCACCAGATGGTGGCATGGGTTTCATGGTATACTTCCCCCAAAGGGGGCAATATTTTAAAATTGCCCCCAAGCAACTGTCTTTAGGTTCTTGAAAGGTCAGTTTGTATCTTTTAATGGACACATAGTATTCGTGTGGATTTACGGAATAACATACTATAATTCAGTACCTACGCTTAAACTTTGTTTACCTAATCCTTTCAGGACTCCAGCAGCTGTTGTGAGTGTACTCCATGTAATCAAGGAATTACAGTTTTCATATAAGTATTATATTTCATATAAAGTAAAATAAGTTTTCATATAATTTGTATGTGGTAAACCAGAAGATGGGGTAAGTTATTTCACCCGTTACATTTTTGTAACATTTTGTACATAGACCGAGAACCATTGTGCTAAGGTGTGTATATAAAATCCAGCCCATCAAATCTTTTTTTGAAGTTTGTGTGTAAATGGTTTCAGGTCTAATCATGTTGTATTGGATAATATGTACTATATTTTTATATAACATAGATTTATATCTTTTTAAGATTTTCCATATGTTCTACAAGTCTTTCTTCTCTCATTTTACATGGTTAGTTTCCCGTTTTCAGAATATTTTTTTTTCTTTTTTCCAGGTCCCTAGTCCCTTCCTAAATTTCACATTCCTATTTGAAATTCTTTGTTGTATCACACTAATCCATTCTGTTCCACCAGTCTCTCTTCTCTTACTTTCTGCCTTCTCTCACAAGCTCTTCACCACCATTTCCTGTTAGCGCCCGCAGTTCTTACTTTTCTTTCACAATTTATTGCAAGATTATCACCTTTCCTGGGTCCTGAACTTCCAGAGTTTTCCAAGATTAGAGGCAGCAGGAGACCTCACACAGGATCATGGCCGGAGAACAGAAAAATGATATGGCCTGGGTATGAGGACATGGAAAAGAAAGTTGCATCAGTGAGGAAGAGCTCATAAAGAGGAGCATGCCCTAGTTATAATTAATCTTGACAAAGAAAATTCTACTTTTCCATTTAAGTGTAATTTTCTTACCTACATGTGGGTTTACTGAAGTTAGAATATATATCTTTATTAAGCTTTTAAATCCTGTCAATTATATTTAAAATATGTCACACCAGGGAGTGATAGTTTACACTCTATGATCAGTCTCCAATGAGATAGGAGCTTACACTTAAAATTATTACATCTTTCATCACAAATGTGTTGCTATGAAACATGTCATCCCTAGCAAGGGCTTAGTGATATAGGAGACTTTTACCTAGTACAAGATTCCTATCTAAATGTGGACCAGTAACTAAGTCTATTATCTGGAAGTTTAGAATCAGTAAATCCTTAATGATATCCCTAATTCAATGATAATTATGGAGAACATATAATATATCAGGTACTGTAAAAATTGCTAGGAATATAAAAATGCCGAGCAAAGGATTTGTTCTTCAGGAATTTATATTTAAGTAACTTATAGGTCAACTAACAATAAAATACATCTAAACAGATATAATTTCATGTTATTTGATTTGAAATATTATTTGACAGAGACTGAGGGGGAGACACCACTATTGAAAATTTGATCTATGTAGAGGGGATTTCTATCTGGAGCTATTTCAAATTCAGAATATCAGACCCTACAACAGATTTGTTGAGTTCAGGTCTACCTTACAAGTGGATACTAATCAATGCTAATGTTGAACTCAGGTCAATTCTGAAAGCTGAAGGCTGTTTGCTGATAAATGACAAGGAAAAGCCCAACTTCCTTTTTGGAATCTACACGTATGAAGATTATAATAAGCAAAGTTCTGCTTCTCATTAAGGTAGGTCTTCTCAGTTGAAAGTTGTTTTTGCTGCTCCTATATTGGGGCATTTGGCTATATTTGGAGACATTTTCAATGGTCATACTGGTGACAGAGGTTGTTAGTAGCATCAAGTGGGAAGAAACCAGGGATACTGTTGAATATCGCAAAGCACACAGATCTTGTAATAGAGAAGTATCTGGGTTCATGTGTTTATTAGCCACCACCATGGCTATTTTGAAAAGTTCCTCCAGTTTTATTAAAATGATGTCAGTTTCTTGAAACCACAGTAATAATCACCCCAGAACCTACATAACTTGCTATAGCTTATTTTCCTAGATTCCTGATCCTTGGAAAGGACCCCTGGTGTGGTGAGAGCTAGCCTTTAATCCCAGCATACAGGAGGCAGAGGTATGTGGATCTCAGCCAGCTCAAGGCCAGTCTGGTCTGATTTATATAGTGAGTTCCAAACAAGCCATTGCTGCATAGTGAGAACCTCATCTCAAAGAACAAAGATGTTTATGGATTACCTAACATTCTTTGACAATTTGCTGGTTATTCCTAGCAATGGCCAACTGTGGACCAAAAAAAGAAACTCAGCCTCTTTCCTTCCTGCCCCGCCTTTCTGTTCTATAACTGGCCCAGCTGATAAGCAGATGGCAAGCTCTAATATTTACAGAGACTCCTCCATACAGTCACTTCACTAATAAAGGGCTTTCACTGTACCCTTGTCCTTGTCTGTCCAATGTCAACAGTGTCAGTGTGGAGAAACACTAGATTCAGAAATCCATGGACCCAAACTGACAGCTGAAGTATAGACCTTCACAGTTGGAAGAGATAGAAACAGAGAGGGTGTGAGAGACAGAGACAGAGACAGAGACAGAGACAGAGACAGAGACAGAGAAAAACACTAGGTAACTACATTGGGGTAATTTAACTTATTTCTATTACAACAGTCATCATGAAACTGAAATGGGCAACAAATGGTATGTAGGTTAGGAATAAGATTATTAATATTGATGTCCTTATGATGAAGTTGCGGATTCATTTGTTGTTGCACATGAGCTTTTTATGGGTGGCAGCATTTAATATGAGTGGGAAAACATGGTAAAAGGACTGGTAAAAGTGGATGTAGTAAGCATTGCTTCAGAGAGAACCTCATAGAGCCACTAAAGCTTCCCTTGCTCCAAGTGGAAATAATAGTAGAGTTTTGCCTAGAGGAGTGGAGATCCAATCTTTTTGTCACTGAGGATATGCTTAGTGATAGATCAGGTTTGCTAGTGCTCAGTGATGATCACGAGAAGAGGGACAGTTTTGATGCTGTGAATTTTCAGTGGCTACCTCCCAGTAAGCTCGCTTATTCTTTTGACGTGAACCATCGTGGTATACTACAGTTGCCAGAAATTATAATTTTCTTGAAAAGATGAGAGAGCTAAGAGTGGAATAGTGTGAAAGGAGCAAAACAATTGACTGCTAATTTTGAGAACTGAATAGATTTATATGTGGAGTGAGATCAAGTTTGAGTAGTCCATGAAATTTGTAACAGTAGTTGTTGCTGAGAAATATGAAGAGCAGCTCATAATATCCTTTGGAACTCAAAAGAATGCAATTGGTTACAGATAAGGAAATGTAACTCATCACATATGGTTGGATGCTAAAGCCACAAGAATGGATGGCACCATCCTTCAAGGCTTTTGGTCTTCTTTGTTTTCATTCCATATTCGAAAGAACCTTATGACTTTAGTTTGGTTTCCCTATTAGGAAAAAAACTGCATCACTAGCCAACTTAAATATATCTTTTTTTCTCTGGTGGTTTTACCTCTTATTATAAGCACTGTGAATTAGTAAATTGGAAAGAAGATAAGTTAAAGTGGAAGGAAAATCGAGAAGGTGAGGTAGAATTTGCTATAGAGGAAAGGGGAGATGGTGCTCCAGTGGTTTGGAGTCACTCCACTCTAAAGCAGGATCGAAGGATTAAAGCCACAGAAGACAAGATGACAAGCCATTCTCTACCACCGCCACATGAAATGTGGTTTCCGAAGAAATGAACTTTGGGAGATATTGAAATTCATATTTTAAGTCTCAAATCTTCATAGGCACAGATGTTTGTGGTATTATTCTATTGTGTAGATTCTCTGCAGAAAAATATATATATATATATACATATATATATATACACAATATTTAAGTGAAAAGTTATTGGTACAAGTATTTGGAAAATAGAATCAAAATATAGCAAATGGCCCCTCTTTCTCTGTCTGTTCCCTTTTTCTCCCTTCCCCCCATACACACACATATGGTAGCAATAGCAATATAACACTTTATATTCAAAATAATGCATTATAAATTATGATATATGAAATGGTTTCAAGAAATGCTAAGACATTCCAGTTCCCCTTCTGTTCTGGAAACTTTCTGCCAATGTGGTGTGGGAAAATTGTCTGTATTCTGTCAATCATGTTTTAAATAAACGCTGATTGGCCAGACAGGAAATATAGGCAGGAAAACCAGACAGGAAGTAGAAATGATATAATGAGAACAGGAGAATTATGGGAAGGAGGAAGCTGATTCCTCCCACTCCTGCCCAGATCATTGAAGCAGCAGCATGTTATCTGCCCCACTGAAAAAAGGTACCCACATGGCTACCATAGATCAGAAAAATGGGTTAATCAAGATGTTAGAGTTAGCTAATTTATGGAGACCTATGTGTGATTTTCTTTGGGGCTAAACAGTTGTTGGGTACTGGGCG